CGAAGTCACATAGACTTAATGAGATCCGTAAAATCTTACAGATCTGTAAAGGAAGATGCAGCGCACTCAACTCTCGAGCCACTGAATGCAGACGAGCGTGATTTAACCTCGGAAATAAAGCTTTTGAGTTGAAACCCTAATCGCCGCCGTCATCGCCCTTATCAATACTTCTTTTTTTTTGTTCCGATTTAAATTGGTTGCCTAATTGAAGCTGCTTTTTCTAAACCATATAAACTTCATAGTTTATTTCCTACAGAATATAAACAAAAAGAGATGTAGATTTTTATAAAGTTTTAATCTTTACGGATTAACTTTTTCACTACAGTTAGCATTTTATGGTAACTAATCGGGAACATGGAGACGAGTGAAGCAGCTTAGCAGCCACCGTCTGCAACTAGGGTTGGGAAAAAACACTAGTAAAAAAAAAACTAATCTATTCAATTTTAGAATCTATGACTTTTTTTATGTGTGTGTGATCTTTTATTAAATTTATCAAATTATACATAACTTCATTATAATATTTTTTAATTCTCTTTTTGAATTTTTTTTAAAAAAATTTAAACATCTTTTTAAAAATTATTTCTGTAACTAATTAATTTACATTTTAAATTAAAAACGCTCAGTTTTGATTTAAAAAAAAATCATATAATATGTTTTTAGTTATATTTTAATAAAAATTTTAAAATATTTTGTTAGAACTTTTGTTAAATATTAATTTGTATCTAATATATTAAATATTAAACAAGTTTTTATCTATTTAAAATTCTAACAGTTGTAAACTTTATTTGTGTAATTAATTAATTTAAATTCCAGTTATGATCAAAATATAATTAGTAACTCAAGTTAATTAAATTTTATTTAAAAATTAAAATTAAAATCATAAATTTGTAATTATAGTTTATTGATTAAATTATTACTTTAAAAATTAAATATACTTTGTAAGATATTTATTCTAAAAACTTATTTGTATTCAGATTAAAATAAAGATATTAAAATATATATAATCTAGTAATTTAGAATTATATTTAGATTTCATGTGTTATATTTTAATTTTTTTACTATCAATAGAGGTTCATCTAAATCATTTAAATTTTATTATGTAGCATATTTATTTATTCATGTAGTTTATCATAAACACTTTTACCCAACTCTATCCAAATTTAACAATTCTATTTCACCAAATTGGTTATTAATCCCATACTAACCCAAAATATATTTCGAGAATAAAATCACATTTACTTAATAAAAAATTCACTTATATACTTATATCAATATAAATATAGCCAATTATAAATAAAAAGAATACATATTTCATATTTATATAAATTTTTATGATTATTTTTATGTTAACAAATCTAAATCTGTAACATAGTAATTTTATGATATAATGTATGATGAGCAGCTTATATATACTTGATTAATCATAAAAGCATTCCACATAATATATACCTACAAATGCATATTTATATAATAATATGTTAATATAGTTTTGAAATAATTAATAAATATACTGTAAGATATATGATTCCATAAAGTTATAACTACTATAACTTTGTATATTTTACTAAATAAGATATTCTCAAATGTATAAACTCACCAATTTTGAAAATTCTGGATATTTCAAAAAAAACATCTTGATAATTATTTATCTAGATTTCATTCATCAAATCTGTAACTAACATACTATAACTAATATTTGATAAATTAATGAACATGGTACATGAATAAAAAATGTATGTTCCGAGTTTGGCCGATTCAAAATATGTCAAAAGCAAAAACATAATAACATAATATTTTAAAACAAAATTCTATGTAAATATATAGTCTCATTAAAATTATCACTTTTGAATCTATATATTTAGTTTATATGTATAACAAAACATTGTATTTTTCTAATATACACAATAAAATTATTTTTATTCTTTCAACATTTTAATATTTTTTTGATAATATTATATCTAAAACAAAATTTAAGAAGATAGTTTTTGTAAATTAATCTTTATGAAAATAAAATTTCTAAAATTATTTTCATATATACATAAAATCTAAGAAGATAGTTTTTGTAAATTAATAACTCCATAACTTAATTAAATATCACAGTCTCAACATTATTAGATCAAAGAGTTTTACTGTATCTTACATTTATTAATGTTTATAATTTTTTCAAAAAACTAATTAATTACAAACTGAAGAATATATATTAACTCAGATTTAAACAGATCATATATTCACTAATATATCCAAATGAAAAGCGTAAAACAGATTCAAAATAGGTTTTCAGAGAAATTGCTTTTCTCAATGATCTCAAACAATTGAAACTCGATGGAAATTTAAGATTATGGTTAGTAGTTCATAGAAGTCATCTAGAGTTGATGTGAATTTCTGGCTGGCATTTTATATACAAAGATTTATATTTGGCTTTTAGGGCTTAGTGATGACCTACAGTCTTTTTAGATGATAGAAAAGATGAACGCAAACAATCCATAAAACAAGATAAATGTTTTAACTATAAAAATGATACTTAATCGCGCATGACACATATTGTATTTTAGTAAATTACTTTTTAAAAACCATTTTTTCATTAAGAGTTAAAGCGAATCAACATAACTAGTTTGACTCATGGTAACATCTTTAAAAGATTTTGTTAAAATTTTAAAATAAAAAATATCTGTTTTTACAGGTCCAGAAGCATATGTTTCCACTGCTTTTATCCAAGGACGTTAATGGTTCTAAGCATAAACATTTACGAAAAACATTAATTATTCAGAAAACAATTTAGTGGTTTCGGTGCAACAATTTTTGTGACGATATGCCATTTACTTTTAATTTATTTATATTATTTTTTTGTTAAAAATAGTGAAATGAAAAAATATTCAAATAGATAAAAGAAAATAATAAATTGTAAAAATATATAACACCGTGACACTAAATAATTTTATTGGTGAAACCCAAATTTATAAACTTTACAGATTTATGATAATTAGAAAAACACACTTTTATATTTCACTCATTATACATTTATGTCTTTGTAATGATAGTTTGTTACACAAAACGCCATAATCAAAATAAGAATTGATTTCTTATAATGGTAATTAATATTTTTTTATTTTTACGGATAGTTTGATACGAAAACACATGTTTATATCCCACTCATTATACATTTATGACTTTTTAGTGATAGTTTGTTACACAAAACAAAGTCAAACTAAGAATTGATTTCTTATAACTCTAATATATTTTTTTTTCCTTTTACGGATAGTTTGTTACCTAAAATGATATAATAATAATCTAAATTAATTTTATATAACAAAAATAAGAATGTACTGTAATTTAATTAATTTATCAACGAAGGTTTTACTAAAAAGATTAGAAAGGCATTTAGTTTTAATTTATTTAATTTTAAACTTAATGAAAAATATGCCAAACACACGTATTATTGAAATGTGTGAGTATTTCTTTTTTTCTTAAGATTATATTATATATTCATTCGACCCGAGATCTGGAATAAGTTTCGATTACACACACAATTTACACAAACTCAAAAGCAAATCTCTTATATATTAAACGAGAAACATTGTAATAACACGTGTCAGCTTTACAATCATTTGGCAATAAATGCGTTTACACACTAATTTTTTCAATTTATCATTTAATATGTTCATATACTATTTTTAATTAATTCATTTTTCCTATATTTTTAGCCTTTCTATTAATAAATTAATTTTTTCTACGTGAAACTAATGGATAATATCTTTATTGTAAAAAAAATACAAAATCATTAAGATTCGTATCAACTAAAATGTTGCGATGAAAATGTTTGTAGAAACTGAAAATTTCGTACCTTGCGGAAGTTGGTCATGTTGAGGCTTCGGTACACAAGAGCAACAAATATGGTGATTGATTATGAATTAAAGAAACTGAGGTGAAAAACATCACACATAAAGTCAGATCTTTAGTTTAGTCAAATATTAACATTTTTATGAAGTTTCCATATCAGACCAAGAATTAGAAACAAAATCAAATTGGTAAAAAAAAAAGATCAGAATAAAAAAAACCTTTATAAAGAAATAAAAATCACAAAATTGATTAAAAATAGAATTTAGGTACCAAGTGAAGATGTCACTTTGTAATATATATTATTTTTATTGTTTACGGGTACAATTTTGATTTTCTTCATATGAAAAAATGTTATTAATTTATAGGTTTGTTTTATTTTACTTAATTTTATTTAAGAATTTACTATCATGTGTTATTTTGAACAAAAAATTTTAAAATCTTAATTAATGGTATATTCATTTATTTATCATCATATTTATAGACTTTTATATATAAATATATGTACACATTGACATAAGCGACTATATAACTAAATATTTACCACAAGTGATAATTTTAATTCTTATTGAAGTTTAATTTTTTTTTAATGTTTTCTTTCACTATCGCTCAAATTGTAGTGAAATGTTTTGTGCTAATAATTTTATTTTCATTTTTTTCTTCAAATATTATTTAGATTTTATTTTATTTTACATGACTTTAGAAATTATAATAGAAAACTATTAGTTCGACATAAAAATGTCTAAAATTTATATAAAACGAAACCAAACAAATAACAAGAGTTTCTGGTTATCATCGAAAAAATTAAAAACATCAAACATTTAAACTAAACAAACCAAAATAAATATAGATTTAGAATGATAGTTATATTTTAGAACATTAAATAAAACAACTTAAAACAACATAAAACTGAACTAATATCCATATTAAACAGACATAATATTTTTTTATCTTAAATGTATTAAAAAAAAATAATCTCATTAAGATTATCTTCAATTAAGATTCAATAATTACAGTCTATTGACCGGGGCCCAGACATTGACCGGGGCCCAGACATGAACAATGCATGAATGTGTCTCAGTGTATATAAATAAAGGCACTAAAGGAGTACGTACTCCGTATAAACTCAAGTGGTAATCATCAGATTTCTCATACTTTTAAGAACGATGTCTTTCACAGTTTCTGCAAACGCCGAAAACCCACCACCAAAATGCACCAAAACGACTCTTTCATCTCTTCCTCTGCCAGATGAGATGTCAACGGTTTGCTTCGCATACGTACCAAGATGTGACTACCCTTCACTCTCTCAAGTCTCCAAGACTTTCAACCAACTCATCGCTTCCTCGTACCTTTACCGCGTACGTTCACTCCGACAAAGCACCGAGAAAGTTCTTTACATTGCCTTGAGATTCAGTCGCTACCAAAACCCTATCTGGTACACTCTCAATCAAAAACCTTACAAAGAAGAGTCAAACTCTTTGAACCATAAGTTGGTTCCGTGTCCTAAGTCTTTCCCTTCTCTGTCTTTTTGGGGGTCTAATGTTATTGTGATCGGTAAAGATATGTATGTTCTCGGTGGAGGCATCAACGGTGGGTTAACCACTGATGCTTTTGCTATTGATTGTATAACTCGCACGTGTCGGTCTCTTCCTAGCATGCGTGTGGCTCGTCACTACGCTGCTTTTGGTGTTGTAGATGACAAGATTTATGTACTTGGGGGATGTGACGAGAAGGATAAGTCGTCGGAAGATTGGGTTGAGGTTTTCAACCTCAAGAATCAAACATGGGAAAGCTTTCAAGGTTTTTTTTATTTTTTATTTTATTTTATTTTAGTACAAAGAGGTTGTGGACCGAATTACATAATTTTATAGGCACAAAACCACATCATGTAATATTTAGTTTCGTTGTAAATATCCATTATGTGACTTTTATCGAGTTCAGCTAATGATACTTGGTATGCTTTCCAGGTGTGTGCAACAAACAGTTGCAAAAGAAAACGTTCTGTAGTGTTGTGATGAACGAGAAGATTTACATAATGGATCGTAAGAAAAGCTTTGTGTATGATCCGAAGAAAAATAAATGGGCGAGGGAAAACTCGTTGGAAAGTGAATGGCCAGTTGGTTCATGCGTCATTGACAACATGTTGTACACTTTCGGGACTGAGAACGGAATAAGAGTGTACAATCCGAAAGCTAGGATATGGAGAGTACTGAAAGGTGTTAATGAGGATCTACCTGACATGCGTGGTTCTCAAGGATTGTCTAGAATGGCGAATCACGGGGGGAAACTAGTGATTTTGCTTAAGCGTGATGAGCCGAGGAAAACAAACATTTGGTGCTCAGAGATTGCGATAGAGAGGCGTGGACAAGGAGAGGTCTGGGGGAAGGTTTTGTGGACTAACCTTGTAATCAGTTTCAATAACTGCCCATCCATCGCTCAGTGTCTAGATGTCATCATTTGATTAATCATGAGATGGGTTTATAAAATTATGTATACTATAGTTGAGTATGCTCAACTTTGCTATGTTTATCATACCTTTTCATTTATGAATTCGACCCTTTTGATTTTCTATTCTCAATCCACAATCACTTTTGAATATTACAGTAACAAGACTAATAAGATAATCCAGCCGTTGGTCTAGTTTTGACACCACACTTCCCTTAATATGGTGTGGTTCATGTTCAACTTTGCTCTTTAGGCTAGTCCTTATGCCGGTGCGTGATTAATTAGTCCACACCTTCCAAAATGGCATGGATTGGAAGACACTACTTTTAATTTTATTTTCAATACTATATTACAATATATGGGTATTAGCTAATTTTAACTTTCGGCAAATAAAAAAATACAAAATTTTCAACTATTATCTCTACTTTGATACTTTTTATTTTATTTTGAGGATATCCAGACCTATGAAAGGACCCACATTAATCCTTCTGATTATACTTTCTCTCTAATGATTCAAATGAATTGTAGGGAAGACAAATATCTGATAGCCACACGATGTAGACAATATTGAGTAAGTAAGGGGAAAAAAGGTTATGGGTTTATCCAATTATCCCTGGGTTTGTAGTCCAACCGGAGCCGGTAAGTTCAAAATCTTTTCCCGGTTAACCTTAGGCTTTTGGATAAAGAAAAAACAATAGGAATTTAACAAAACCGGCGATGTCATGTATATTATTATTTGAGAAATGAATTTGTTTATGTGTCATGTTCTCCATAATTTTATGTTATTTTACTTATGTGTCATGTTTTAAATAATTTTAGCTGATTCATTTATTTATTAATCTAAATACTATTATTAATTCAAAATTTTAATTATATATAATCATGTTTTCCATAATTTTAGATTATTAGTTATGTGTCATGTTTAAGTAATTTTTAGATGCTTCATGATTTATTAATTCAAACTTTAGAATTAGTTATATATTATTTTCCTTAACTTTGTAACTTTGACGAGTAGAATACAAGTTCTGTCTCTAAACCTTTGACTGCTCGACCCGCACATGAATTGTAACTATACTATTAAGTCAATTCACTAACTATAGAACATATATCGTTTCTCATGTATAACCCAAACAATAAAGCTATAGTCAGAGACTTATCTGTGCACTCAGAGACTTATCTGTGCACTGTAAGACTTTGTTTGGACTTTCCCTCATGTCCATCATCATACTGTTGTGTACTACCAAATGTATAAGTGTATGAAGATAAAAAAGCAGCAGACTAGATTTAAAAGAGGATGAAAGTAATTAGATTATACCAGATTTTGTCAAATTTGGTTATCCTTTTAGCAAGTTTAATGTATGAAGCTTCTCTTTTAATCTTTTTTGTTCCAAATTTATCCTACAAGAGGAGTTTATCGATCAACAAACCATACCTACAAGATTGTTTTTAATCAAAATAAAGTGATTACAACTAATTAAATGAAATTACAATTAACATGTTCTTTACTCGAGCCATAGTGATTCATGTTTTTAAAGTAAATATAAGTTAGTATATACAATATAGATTCCCAAATACAAACCTTTTAAGTTTTGGAACATCATTTGGTTTTTCCCTTGTGCTTTCTCAATCGATTTCAACAAGATCAGATTTTAAATGCTTCAGATCTTATTCAGACACTTCGAATCATTCCAATCTCATTGATTAAACTGAATTCACAATCTGATGTCACATGCAAAACAAATTAGAAAAAAATAAGATCTCGATGGTTATTTCTTGAAAAAGAAAATCAGATTTGCAGTTAATTCTTTATCAAAAAAAGACATGAAATTAGATTTAACTTTTTGTTGTCTTCATGTCTTTCTTATGAATCCCTTGAATAGATCGAAACAGGTAAAGTCGAGAACCATCTCGGCCTCATTGTTTTTATCACATATGGCTTCAGATTCGATATGCAAACATTTCTGAAATGAAACAAATCCATATATATATTGATGTTAGAGATTTGTAAAGATAGAACTAAAAAATCTATATAATCTAAACGAAAAGTGAGAGAATATTACTGTCTAGATATCGGAGAAGGTGATTCGTCGGCGGAAGGTGGATCTAGAAATCAATCGTATTTTTGGGTTTGCAGAGAGCATTTTGTTGTGTTTTTTTACATCGATTCATTTTAAGGAAATTAATCCTCATAACACCCAAGAAAAAACATAATTCACAATGTAACGAAAATCCTTCCCTCTCTCCTCATTTCTCATCCTATCTCTCTCTTCTTTCTCTCTCAAAATCTAATTTTTATGGCTATTTTACAAATAAGCCCTTCATTTTATGAAATAAAACAATTTGCTTCATCTGATGCTGTCACTAAATATTAATGTGAGCATGGTCTGGGCCTATAAAATTGATTGATATTATTAAGTGATCAAATGTAACTATATAAAAGTCCAAATAATAAACCCACTATATAATGAAAACAATTATAGATAACAAAATTCGAAATACATAAATAAACCCCAATTTATAATGAAAAATTTTACATGCAATTTATATGCACACTCTATATTATATAAAATTATTAAGAAACAAAAGTTATATTTAAATTTAAATTTTAAAGACTATTAAAAATTAAATTATTTCTGTCTACTTTATATAACATGTCTTAACATATATGGATAAAACAATCAACACAATTATAACTAGATTATATAATAATATTTATAAAGATAAAGTATTATTAGTTAAACAGTTAATAAAATTTTTAAACAAAAAATCATGTTTTAAGAAATTATGGTCAAAACCATAGTATTATTTTGTTAGGCCGAGTTTCAAATCATATGTTCACACACTATTATCATTTTTCTCGATGTCCACTTATTCATAAAGATAAAATTTATAACTAGATTGTAACTAGATTATATATTTCTATTTATCAAGATAAAATTTTATTCGTTACAAAAGTTAATAAAAAATTAAACAAAAAAATCATGTTTTAAGAAATTATGGTTAAAACCATAGTATTATTTTGTTAGTCCGAGTTTCAAATCATATGTTCACACACTATTGTCATTTTTCTCGATGTCCACTTATTCACTGATTTTGTTTTGTTTATCTAAATATTATAGAGTTTTCATATTTTAAAGACATTTCTTTCCTTTTATTTTGTTATTAAACTCAGTTAAAACTTAAATATATGAACTAAATTTTCATTGTTTTAGTTTCATAAAATACTAAAATATGCAATCATTAAACAATTTAGTACAGTCATTTTTTAAACAATGTGTTTAAATAACTAATTTCTATGAGAACAAATACGCAATTTTTTATATCATGTTTAACATCTTTGGATATTTTTTCAAATGTAAACAATCAACATATAGTAAATACATTAAGTTATCTTATATAAAAATACACAATCTTATAGTTAAAAAATTGTTATATAATTTTAAAATGAAAGAAATTCCACGCTTTAAAAATGCGGGTTAAAATCTAGTTCTAATTAAAGATATAGATGTGATATCATCATCTTGGTTATATTATAATAATATGTAAGTGTTGATACAGATAAACTATCTATATCTATGATACCGAATCTATGTTAGAATATATTTTATTATATCATAATAACTGATTCTATGTTATATATATCATGTTCTCTTTGTAACTTTCAAATTAAGTTATTTCAAAAGGATTTTTTGGTTCTAAATAGTTTCACCATTGGTGACTATACGATAGATATAAAACGAAATTTTTTCTTTTAAGATAAAGTTTTATAGATTAACCAAAATTCTAGTTTTGTCATATATGTATGTAAGTAATTTGATATTCCATTTAAACTTATCATAAGAATGTTTAAATTATAATGTATATATTAATAAGTAACTATAACAACATTATGCATGCATGAGTGGGCAACATTATAACAACTTTATGCTTTTTGTTCGGATTAAGAGCATCTCCAACACTCTATAACTTCAAATATAGAGTTTTTGATTTTCCAAATAAAAATCTAAAACTTCAAATTTGAAGTTTTGATTAGTGAAATTTCAAATATAAAGTGTCACTTTTCAAAACTCCAAATTTGAAATTTCATTTTCTATTACATTTTGGTCCTTACAATTATACATTTTATTTATAATTCTTAAATACTTTATTGTTTATAGTTTTAATCCTTAAAAATTAATATCTCATAAATATGTCAAATTATTTTTATAAATTTAAATTTTACACATTTTTTTTAAAAAAAATATCAAAATAAGATTTAAAATAAATTTAAACTAGAACTTAGTGTTGGGTGTTCGGGTTTACGGTTCGGGTCGGTTCGGACTATTTTTTTCGAATTATTCGGGTTGGGTTGTTTTGGACCCATTTAGGGACCAGGAAAATTTCGGATCAGATCGGCTCAAGTAATGGCGGATACGTGATGAGTTTCTATTTTTTTATAAAACCCAAAGACGAATCGAATTAGAAATAATTTGGGTTTGATTCGGGTTTTTAAAGCCCAAAAACCCGGAAATCCTAAAAAGTATTTGGGTTTTTGGATATTGTTTTATTTATAAATTACATTATATATAAATATATTAAAATTAAAATTTATTAATATTTTTCTATATTTAAAATATTTGGGTACCCGTTCGGTTCTGGTTTGGTTTTGGTTTTTCAAATTTATAAAAATAGGAACCATTTGGTTTTTTGTAATTTTTTGTCCGGTTACGGTCACGAGATTTTTTGCTTCGGTTCCGGTTTTTGGGTTTTAGATAATATGCCCATGACTACTAAAACTAGACAACAACAATATTACAAGACTTAATGTGATATTTTATTTGTGGTTTAATAATTAATTATATATTTCTATATATGATTTTATATTTTAGTGTAATATCTTATCAATTAATATTTCTGTAATCTTTTTATTTAGGTTCTTGTTACTTATAAAAATTATATGGCTAATATAAAAAATATACTATAAAATATAAATAGTTGTGAAGCTAAAGTTTTGCTTTTGGAACACAATATCTTTAAACTTCTATAGAGTTTTGTAAATTTTAAAATAGAGAGTCTTTTTGGAGATGCTGCGCATACATGAATAATCAAAATAATTCAAAATTTTATGCCAATGTAGAAAATTTCCTAATCCAAAATATTCAACTGGAATTTGTTTTATAAAAAAACCAAATGAAACGATTGCTTTCTAATTATTCCAACAAGTGAAATCAGCAACACTAATATTAAAAATCAACCTTTGATTAGTCTTTCCTGGTTTACTACATCAGACTGCATATTCGGATATTCATTCCCCTTTTTGTTATTTACTCTTACTTACTCCTGCTGCATAACAAACCAACCTTAAACCTTTATACAAATCTAGATTTTAATCTCTTTCCCTGAGAGTTAGGGCAATGCATGAGAAGAACCAAAACGCCTATGATTATCTTCAACGCTCTTCATCTCGAATCTCCCCTGTTTCTTTACCTGAACCTCTTCATCTTCGTTAGCTTCTGCGTTTTGAAGCTCTCTCAAAGCTCTTTTAGCGTACACAGTGAAAGCTACAGTCGTCACAACCGCAATGATCAAGGAGATTACGTTGTACACTATCTCTACTGTTGTTAAACGTTGATGTCCGTATTGCACATCCGCGAATGTTCTGATCAATCGACCGCTGCATATAAAACTTTGTTTTTCAGAATTACGTTTTTAATTTCTATGGTTCAAAGTGGGGAGAGAGAGAGAGAGAGTGAGTGACCTGTAAATGTAGATGAAAGCTTCAGGTATCATCCCCGCTATGGAACCGAACAAGTAAGGCCAGAACCTCATGCTTGTCACAACGATGGCGTAGTTGAAAATGGTGTAAGGAAATGGCGAAACCCGAAAGATCGCCACGACTCTGAACTGATGAAACCAGCTTCCTTCTGCTGCTAGTCTAAGAACAGCAGCTTGACGAGGCCACCTTTTCAACCATTGCTGCATTTTTATTTAAAAAAAAAAAAACATAAGTAAAGTGATCATCATCAAGAAGTGAAAATGTTTGGTTCTTACATGGAGACGATCACGAAACATTAGCCCAATAAGGTAAGGAAGAACCATCCCAACGGTGGTACCAACCATAATAATAACAAAACCAAGACCATAACCAAAAATCATCCCAGCTAACCACATGGAAGGACCCGAAGGGATCAAGAAGACAGGGAACAAAGCCAAGGAAAGAACAAGAACAATAGCGAGCATAGGACGGCCAAAAGCAGTTGCTTCCCATTGCAAAATCGGAATCAAAACCTACCAAAATCAAATCAAAACTACACACCATTACACTCCAAACGTTATTGAAACTTGAGAAGTGAGTAAAAAAGGAAGCAAACCTTTTGGAATACAAATGGAACTCCCCACTTGGCGAAAACAAGAGTGAGGAAGAGAGTAAGTACAAATATAGCAAAAGCTTTAAACCACCAAACCAAGTTTCTAGTCCGTATCTCCGATTGAGATAAGGCTAAAACGGTTTCAGGTGGAGAAGGTTGATGTGTTCCAACAACAAGGCGAACGTATTCATTATCTTCACTAATATGACGAACAGAGGTTAAGGTATTATCGTCTCTTGGCTCTTTCAATGGATTTGACATCTGTATTCAATATCCATTTTTCAAATCAAAACAATCATACAGTAATCAAATCAGTTAGATCTCTCAATCTCACTAAAAAAAAATCAACAAATAAATATATAAAAAGATGAGGAAAATTTAGAAAGTAGAGTTAGGGTTTAACAAAATCAAACCTGTGAAGAGATTCAATTCAAAAGGGAGTAACAGAATCGAGCTAATTAGCGACTAGTCAAAGCTTCGTCGTTACGGTTACGGAGGATCCAACGCCGTCGGAGAGAGAGAAACTAGGGTTGTTGCGGCGGATTTACGCCTCGGCTTGGGTGGCTTTAGTGTGTCGTTGGCTTCAACAAGAAAAGCGTGATTTAAGTTTTTTTTTCTGTTACGGAAAATTCAAATGAAAATGAGAAAGCGCATCTATTCCTTTTTCAGTTTTATGACTTTATCCTTTTTTTTGTTTTCTAATTTGGTTGCCTTCTGGAATATCGAGTCAGACTATCTTATAAAAAGTGGAATTGATAACATATTTTTTGCATTTTGACACCGTTGATCCATAATTTGCCTACCTGACTTGACCTACCTTTTTTTAATTAATTTGGTTTGTTTTAGTTAAGAATTATTCCAAACCTTTGAACGAACAAATAAAAAACACACACAAAAAGAATTTTCTTAAACCAAATCCAAAACCAACCAACGAATCCTCAGATTATTATTGACCCAAAATAAAGGAGCGTGAAGGATACGTGCGGAGTGATGATACAAAGAAAGGGGTGATTTGGTAATTAACAAGAACGACTTCAGAAAAATAATCATCATACTAGATTTTGATCCGCGCTTTCAAGCGCGGAAATTTTTTATGATTAAAAATTTATATAATTGGGTTTTGTCTTAATTTAAAGAATATTTTGATATAAAATCAGTTCACCAAAATTTGTGGTGGTGATTGTTTTTCATTAGTTTTTAGTTTTAGTTTTTATTTTTAGATTTTGGTTTTTAGTTTTTAAGTTTCTACTTTCATTTTCAGTTTTTGGTTTGGGTTTTTAAGTTTTAAACCCGCTGAGTTAGTTTGAACTAATATTACCAACAAACAAATCTCAAATAATCAAACATCTAATTTAAAACTGAATATATGATAACAATTTTTTTTTAAAAAAAAATTGAAATAGTTTATTTTGTAAATAAACAAAGCAAAAAAATATAACATGTGTTTTCAGATTTTGGTTTTGGTTTTAGTTTTTAGATTTGGTTTTTGGTTTTGCTTTACATTTTTTTATCAGTAAATTATTTAAGAAAAATAAAACAATAAATTATTTTAAAGTTACCATTGAAATTTATCAAAACAAAGTGATTGTTATTTAAAATAAAAAAATATGTTAACATGTTTTAAAGTAAATGATTTAAATAAATGATTGATAATAGATATTTTTTTTTGTTAAAAATATTAAATACCTTTTGGGTCTGAAAATAATAATTGATTTTTTGATCTTTTAAGGTGAAAAGTTTATTCAATGTTTTTGGAGTTTTTTCTTAATACTAAGCCAAAAAACCAAACTATATAATTTGTTCAAAAAATAAAAATAAGTCCAAGACTATATTTCATAAATAACCACTGATTTAATTTAAGTATAATTAGTAGATTTCCATATTCCATATTTTGTTGATATATATTCTTCTAAAACATTCCATATTTGTAGGAGAAAATATGTGTTTTGGTATACACATAGATAACTGCCGTATTTTGAAGATAGTTTACATTAAGGTCGTCTCTTTATATTAATTGTGTTGGTTTAATTTAAATAATATAGTTCAATCAATTATATGATTTATATTATTTGTAACATTCTAGAAAGGGTCCAAATTTAAATGACAACTTGTATCAATATATAAAAAAAATGACTCTATTTTAATAGAGTAGATGTTTCTCCTCTACTGTTGCATAGGAGCCGTTGAATATAGCTGGCCTCGGAGACGGGCTTTGAGTATTTATGGGCTTTAACGAATACTTAAAATGGGCTGTTGCTTATCGTAGCCTAAAGGTGGTTTGCCCGATATATTGGCGGGGTCGTTTGCGCGATGTCGTTGATTATACACGACACGTTCCTCGTAGATGCAGAGAGCGGTTCAGTTTTACCGGTTATGTTTTTCGGTTTGAGTCGAAATTGTCTATGCAAGTTTAGACAACTTTGATGTACTAATAAGAATCGTGAAAGTTTGTGGATGCTATTGGATTTTCATCATCATCCTCGGTGACGACTCACATAAAAATAAGAGAAACAAACTATGATTAACATTATATTACAATTGTTTTTTTTTGTTTGAGAAAATATATTACAATCGTGGTTAACATTATATTACAAATGTTACAAAAAAAAACATTGTATTACAATCGTGGTTACTGATTAGTAATTTCTCCGATGGATGGTATTTGGATTTGATCATCCTCGGTTTTAGGTATTAAAAAACAAACAGTGTGTTTTGATCACTACTACCAGCTCTTCTTTATTGACTTTTATTACTTTTTTTTTAATTGACTTTTATTACAATCGTGACGTCAACCTTGTTAATGGGGAATTTCTTCGAAACTTCCACGTAGATGCCGTTAAGTGGTTTTGTCGTATATATGTCGGAAAAAAGTTTCAGAGAAGTCAAGAAAAATTTCTCTCTGGAGTAGGTCACGAGGATGAGTGAAACTAAAGGCAAACGCAGACGAGAGATGGTTTCGGATTCGTCACCGTTCGATTCCTTGCCGGAGGATTGCATCTCCAAGATAGTCTCCTTCACAAGTCCACGTGATGCTTGCGTCGTTGCTACGGTTTCTAAAGCCTTTGAATCTGCGGCGAAGTCAAATTTTGTATGGGAGAAGTTTCTTCCGCCAGAGTATGAATCTCTGGTTCCTCGATCGCGGGATTTCCGATCCAAGAAGGATCTCTACTTTGCTTTATGCCACAAGCATCTTCTTATAGAGAATGGTACAAAGGTATATCAATTTTGGACCTTATTCATATGATTTTGAGAATAATAATTTATTAGAGAGGCCTACAAAACAAACCTTGTTTCAGCTGGTACTATTGAATAATTATGTTTTTTTCTTTCTTTTTCCTGAAATAAAAGAGCTTTTGGTTAGACAAAGTCAGTGGAAAGAAGTGTATCATGTTATCTGCGATGAACATCTCAATCATGTGGGGAGATACTCCACAGTATTGGGAATGGATTACAGTTCCTGAAGCTAGGTAGGTACTCTTGGCGTTAATAATGTTTGTAATTAACTAGAATTGATTGATTAAAAAAAAAAAAAAACTTGGTGGTGTGTGTTTACAGATTTAAAAGAGTTTTTTTTTTTTGCTAATACAGATTTAAAAGAGTTGCGAAGCTTCTTGATTTAAATTGGTTTGAGATTCGAGGCAGGGTGAATACTCGTGTCCTATCTCCAAGAACTCGTTACTCGGCTTATATTGTTTTTAAGAAGATAAATCAATGTAGCGGTTTTGAGGAAGTGCCCACAGAAGCTGGAGTTGGAGTGGTGGGGCGTGCAGCTTCCACAAGATTCATAAGCTTGGATGCGCGAGTGGATGGGCACTCTCTAAGAAGAATGCGAAGGAGGCCAGTGGAGAGAAGAGATGAATGGATGGAGATAGAGCTTGGGGAATTCTTCAGTGGAGGAGATGTAATGAATAGTGATGAGATTGAGATGAGTGCTTTAGAGACCAATCTTCACCATTGGAAGAGTGGCTTGGTCATTCAAGGAATTGAAATCCGTCCTGCCAAAAACCAGTAAAAGTAATGCCTAAGAACAGTTATCTACTGTTATCATTGTCAGTTGTGTTTGTTATATAATGAAAACAGCTTTTCTAAAGGTTGAATCCTTGTTGGTCAGTAGCCTATGATATGAGTCTGCATTTTTGTCTTAGAATTTGTGAATGGAGCAGTGATTAATCACATGATAAAGAAGAAGAAAAAAAGAGTTCAGCAAAAGCTTCCGTTTAACTCGAGTTTCTTATCATAAAAATCTTTTTATTTGCCACAATACAAAAAATTAGAAACCTAAAAAAATGTCTTAAACTAAACTAAAAAGGAAATGTAAAAAGAAAATCATACGAAACTCAAAACTCCAAATCTGTAAATTTGTTCTTTATATGGTGTGGAGAATATCGGTAAATATACAAACCGTATTCTTGCTGTGGCCTGTGGAAGAGCTATTCAGTGTTCTGATTATGTTTTGTACGCCTGCGAAATAGGTTGGCCTGAATGGAACAGAACCAGTTTCTTTCAATTTTCGGTTTGGTATTGGTTTCCTTTGAACTGAACAGATCGTGCAGATATTTCAAAACCAAACAAAATTCAGTTATTAAATTCATATCATGAATTGATCGGTTACAGAAATGAGACTAACCAAATTTTGTTTCGTTACCTTTGGTAAATACTTTGGTTAACCAAAGTCAGGCCTCTGTTTTGGTTCGAGTATATATTTCTGCTATCTATACTATTATTTAAGAAGTAAATTTACTTAGTTGTCATGTTCTCCATAAGTTTAGTTAATTTTATTTATTTATCATATTTTTAATAGTTATATATATTTTATTTATAAATAAAACGAAAACTTCTATACTATTATTTAAGAAGCAAATTTGCTTAGTTGTTATGTTTTCCATAAGTTTAGATAATTTTATTTATTTATCATATTTTTAATATATATATATATATATTATTTATAAATAAAACGAATTTATATGAATTATCTTATTTTCTACAAATTTGCTTAGTTATCATGTTCTCTATAAGTTTAGGTAATTTTATCATATTTCTACATATTTTATTTATAAATAAAATGAATTATATGAATATATCATATTTTTAGAAAATAAGATAATTCTTGTGAATTATGTTGTTATTGAATTATATTATTATCTTGAAATATACTTTTATTTATAAAACTGAAATTTTAAATTAAGATATAAAGACTTTTATATTTATCTTAAAGGAATTTAGATTAATAATTTAATATTTAAATATAAATAAACTAAATTTATGTTAATAATTTAATATTTTCTAAAATAAGATAATAATTATGTATTATGCTGTTATGTTGAAAATATATTTTCCTATTATAAAACTTAAAATTAAGATATAAAAATTATATTATTAATAATTAAATACTATTATTTAAGAAGTAAATTTGCTTAGTTATCACGTTCTCCATAAGTTTAGGTAATTTTATTTATTTATCATATTTTTAATAGTTATATATATTTTATTTATAAATAACGAATCTTTTATACTATTATTTAAGAAGCAAATTTGCTTAGTTTTTATGTTCTCCATAAGTTTAGGTAATTTTATTTATTTATTATATTTTTAATATATATATATATATATATATATTATTTATAAATAAAACGAATTTATATGAATCATCTTATTTTCTATAAATTTGCTTAGTTGTCATGTTCTCTATAATTTTAGGTAACTTTATCATATTTCTATATATTTAATTTATAAATAAAACGAATTATATGAATATATCATATTTTTAGAAAATAAGATAATTCTTGTGAATTATATTGTTATTGAATTATGTTATTATCTTGAAATATATTTTTATTTATAAAACTGAAATTTTAAATTAAGATATAAAGACTTTTATATTTATCTTAAACGAATTTATATTAATAATTTAATATTTAAATATAAATAAAAAGAATTTATGTTAATAATTTAAATATAAATCATAATTAAATATAAATCATCAAAACAATTATTTGAAAGTAAATTTGAGATTTGTCTCAAAACAATTATATTATTATATATTTAATTATTAATAATATAATTTTTAATTATTAATAATATAATTTTTAATTATTAATAATATAATTTTTAATTATTAATAATATAATTTTTAATTATTAATAATTAAATATAAATCATAATTAAATATAAATCATCAAAACAATTATTTGAAAGTAAATTTGAGATTTGTCTCCATGATCCTAGGTAATTTTGATCATTTATCAAAATTTCTATAAATTTGTTTATTACTGATTATATAATTTAACTAATTTATATTAATAATATGATATTTTAGAAAATAATTTAATTCTTATGTATTATTGATGTAAATTTATTTCAACTATAAAATAACTACAACTTTTTATATCTTAATTTTAAATTTCTAACAAAAAAAATATATTTTCAAGAGAACAACTTAATACATAAGAAGTATCTTAAATTCTAAGAATCTGATGCTATTAATATAAATTTGTTTTACATATATAATAAATTATATATAAAATTAGAGAAATTATGATAAACTATCAAAATTACCTAAAATCATAGAAAATATGACAAATCAACAAACATTAAATTCATTTTTTAAATAAATGTATAGATTTTTTACATGTTAATTTTGAATTTTATAATAGAAAAAAATATAATTTTCGAGATAACACAGCATAATACATAAGAATTAACCTATTTTCTAAAATATCATATTGTTAGTATAAATTAGTTTTAATTATATAATCAATATCAAAAAAATAGAGTAATTCTGATAAATGATCAAAATTATCTAGGAACATGAAGACAAATCAACAAATTCACTTTTCAAATAATTGTTTTGATGATTTGTAAAAATAAAATATATATAACTATTAAAAATATGATAAATAAATAAAATTTCCTAAACTTATGGAGAACATGACAACTAAGCAAATTTACTTCTTAAATAATAGTATAGATCAACCATAAATTAGAAACAAATTTCAGTGATTTGATGACTATTATTATCTAAAAATAGTTAATATTAATAAACCATAAACTAAAACTGAATTAATATATAGATAACAATAAATTAATTATATTTAAAAAGTGAATTTGCTGATTTATCATATTCTCCATAATTTTATGTAATTACACTTATTTATCATGTTTTTATGATTTTGACTAATGATTAATTATTACCCTTAATTAATGACTACTTAAAATTATTATTATATAATTATGAACCGTGTATTAATTAGATTTATTACCCTTAATGACAAAGCAAGCATAAACTTAATGACTAATTGGATTTATTAATATATAATGACTAATTAGATCTATTACTCTATAATAATTAGAAACAAATCTTATTTGTCATGTTTCTTATGATTTGATGATTATCATTATCTAGACTAATGATTATAATAAATCTAATTTTTCATTATATAGTAATAAATCTAAGTAGTCATTAAGTTTATGTTTGCTTTGTCATTAACTAGATTTATTACTATATAATGACTAATAGTTATTACTATTTGACCAAAAAAGATTTATTACTATATAATAATTAAAAATTTTAATATATAATTAAACATAAGTAAAAAACAAATTTCAATGATTTTAGATTTATCTTTATCTAAAACTATTTTCTATTGGGTTATAAAATCTTTATTAACCTTGAAATATAATTATATTTTTAGTAATACATCATTAATTATAAATTAAAAACAAATTTCATTTATTTGATAATCATCTTTTTTTTTTTTATATTATGTCTTTATCAACATTGAAAAATAATTATATTTAAAATAATTATATTTGTTAATATATAATTAATTCTAAATTAAAAACAAATTTCATGTATTTGATAATTATCATTATCTATTTTTTTTATAATTGTGTTATAAGTCTTTATTAACCTTGAGAAATAATTATATTTGTTAATATATATTTAATTATGAAAAAAATAATTCACAAAGAATTTATGTATAGATAGTTTACATTACTAAAGATAATTTTATTATACTTTTTTGTTATGTTTAAAAATGATATTAATTTATTAATAAATATTTTAAATTTATGAGTATTTTCACATTTAATTTGTGTATGACAATTATTTATATGATGATGAAAAATTTACTATATAGAAAGAATTTGTTTAGATTATTATTAAATATTTTGAGTGTATGAACAATTATTTTTTTATAATTTACTTAAATTGATTATATTTGTTTACAGATAGTAGAAAATTATTAAGCCTGCAAGTGCGGGCAAAACACCTAGTAAAAAATGTAAAGTTAAGAAAAAATAATGTACTTGCCTCACTTGCATTTCGTTTGGTACAGTCAAATTCAATTTATTAATTTCTTAACATTTTATTTCATGATCCCTCCACTCACCTTCTTGGTTAAGATTTAAATAACCTCCATACGCAAGGAAGCAAAGAAGGGTAGTTTGTTAATTATTCCCGATGACTTCTCAGTGACAGAGACCACTTTATAAAAATAATTTAATTGTCTGAAGCTTTTCATTTTGTTTTTAATTGTCTGAAGCTTTTCAAAAGCACAAAGATGATGGCAAAAAACCACGGCGTTGAATCCAGCGGAGGAAAGATCGTTTCGGATTCGTCGTCACCGTTCGATTCCTTACCGGAGGATTGCATTTCCAAGATAGTCTCCTTCACAAGTCCACGTGATGCTTGCGTCGCCGCTACGGTTTCCAAAGCCTTTGAATCTGCGGCCAAGTCAGATGTCGTGTGGGATAACTTCCTTCCGCCAGAGTATGAATCTCTGGTTCCGTCATTTCGTCATTTCTCATCCAAGAATGAGATGTACTTCGCTTTATGCGATGAGCCTGTTCTCATCGATGATGGTGCAAAGGTATAGTAGGTTTTGAGAATCATGATCTGTCTTAACTTGTGATGCAAGTGAATGATTCTGTTTTTGTTCTTTGTAATTAAAAGAGCTTTTGGTTAGAGAAAGCAAGTGGGAAGAGGTGTATCATGTTATCTGCGATGAATCTCTCAATCATTTGGGGAGATATTCCACAGTATTGGGGATGGATTACAATTCCTGAAGCTAGGTTTGTTCATCATTTTGGCCTTAATCCAGGTTGTAATAAAACTAGTTCGGTTGATGATTGGTAGAAAAAAATAAATAAATAAATTAATAATTGGTAGAAGAAAAAAAAACTTGGTATATGTTTACAGGTTTGAAAGCGTTGCGATTCTTCGCAATGTATGTTGGTTTGAGATTCGAGGCAGAGTGAATACTCATGTCCTAACTCCAGGAACTCGTTACTCGGCTTACATTGTGTTTAAGAAAGCGTATTGTTATGGCTTTGATGATGTGGCTATAGAAGCTGGAGTTGGCGTTGGGGGTCATGAAGCTTCTACAAGAACCATATGCTTCAATACAGATGTGGATGATGAGCCTGAGGCGGGATGGATCTACCCTGAGGAGAGGAAAGATGGTTGGATGGAGATAGAGCTTGGGGAATTTTTCAATGGAGAGGGTGTAATGAAGGGTGATGAAATTGAGATGAGTGCTTTAGAGACTAGGGAGCTTGGTTGGAAGCATGGCCTCATCATTCAAGGAATTGAAATCCGTCCTGCAGATATCCAGTAAAGAGCATTCATCTATATTGGTATCCTTGTCCGCTGGTTATATGATTGAATGAGAGGTACAATTCAATTGATAAACAAGTGTGTTCAATTGTGTTTGTTATATAATCATTAACAACTTTGATAGAGGTTGAATCCTTTTTTTTTTCTTTTGATAGAGGTTGAATCCTTGTTAGTTGGTATATGTAAAACCCGTTTTAACCGGTACAAGAGTTGTTTGGTCAAATGATTAAATAGATGCTGAGTATGCTATGTAGAAATTTTGATGGTGATCTTATGTGCTTTTGCATGATTCGACTTTATTATAAGGTTTGTTTGTTTGTTTGTTTGTTTAAGACACCTCAAAAAACAAAAGCAACATGAAACACATGAATCGTGTGGAAGTACGTGCACATTAACGAAAAGAATAGTATTTCTGTAAATATATGGGCGACTTGACACGAGTCTTTCTTTTTCTTTTTCCCATCGGCAAAGACTACTTGAGACGAATTAGTTAAAGTCTAAGCCTTACAGATTAAGAAAGATCATACAGATAATGACAACAACTATGGGGAAAAACAAAGCGTTCACACCGTGTGAATCATACAAAAGGCAAAGAAGTTTCCAGCTCGACGGTAGGGCCAAAATACGGCGTTGCTGGCAGACATGTCTATCTCAACCATTAGTTTCGCATTTTGGTTATAAGACAACAATAACGATATATCTCCCTCCGTCGAATTTATCATATTCGTGTTATGCTAGAGAATACGGTTTTGGCAAAAAAAATATATATTCACGGTTTCGGTGGAAATTACGATTTTATAGGTTTCACAAAACGTATGAGTTTGCTGTTTTGGTAGATAGACATGGTTCTGTAAGTAGGCAAAAAAACACTTTAAGATTCGAACCAAAAAAACATGATTTTATGGTTCTAGAAGATAAACATTCAGTTTAGCGAAAAAATATAAATTTGCGGTTTGGACAGAAAAAATGAGACAAGAAAATATAATTTTATTATTCGGACATGAAATCTAGTACAAACATGGTTAATGAATATGAAAAAAAAAATGGATGGTTGAATAATGATATCAAGCGCATTATTGTAGAATTAATACAGATAACAGAAATATTTGAGAAATCATATTTATTCTAAATAAAATTATAAACGGATCGATCGAGAGTAAATTGACTTCTCTTTTTGTAGATCCAAGAAATATTATGTACTGTGGTTTACATAAATAATAACCAAACTGATTATATATATATCAAAAAACATATGTATAATTAGAATAGCTTAATATTATCTAAAATAAATTATATATAAAGTTACAAAATTATTTAAAGATGAAAGTAAGATATTAACCAATTATTATAACGTATTTACATTGTATATACGTGCACAAACACATGACAATCACATAGTACAAAATATTTTGAGAACAAACTTATATTCAAAAAATTATTCAAAAAATTATAAAAAAAATTTTGTAAAAAGAAAATCGATTACTAATAGTAAAATGGCTTCTTTATTTTCTAAAATCAAGTAGAAACATGCAGCGGGAAGAGGAGTGAGGCACGCGCCGGCACGTAATGATGCAAGAGAAGAGAGGGTAGTACCGTAAATATTTGCGGGACGACTTTACACGAAGTCATTTTCAATTCCATAACAACAGAGGCGACTTTTGAAAGAAATCACGAGTCTTTTATCAAAACATAATAAATCCTTGGCCCTCTCCATCTTTTTATTCTCAAAACAATCTTCCAAAAACATATAAGACGATTCTGATCAAGATGATGCAGGCAACGATGGGACAAAAACAAGGCGTTGAATCTAGAGTCGAAGATATGATCATCACGGGGCCGTCACCGTTCGATTTCTTGCCGGAGGATTGCATCTCTAAAATAATCTCCTTCACAAGTCCACGTGACGCCTGCGTCGCCGCTTCGGTTTCAAAAACCTTTGAATCGGCGGTTAAGTCAGATACCGTGTGGGAGAAGTTTCTCCCGTCAGAATATTCCTCTCTGATCCCACGATCGAGAGCTTTCTTGTCCAAGAAGGAACTCTATTTCTCTCTCTGCAATGATCCTGTTTTAATCGAAGAGGGAAAAAAGGTATTGTCTATTTATTCATTATAGGGTTTAATTGTTTGAGAGTAATGATCTTAGAGTGCATAGAATCATCAAGTTTTAACTATATATAACTAGTATGTGTGATGTGATCTGATCTTAGAGATACTCTAGAGTAATTAGTGAAATAAAATTATTGATTTATGTTAGAGAATTATGTGAACAATATATAGTCTGTGTTGAGAAATGGTGGTTGGGACATATCCGGGAAATGGACCAGACCACATCAGTCTCACTCCAGTCCAAGACCAAGCGGCCAGCAGCTTGACATTATCCATACCAGGCGCCAAGCATCAGTCATTATCCTCCCTTGTGTTTATCCATATGTTGTAGTTATCCTAATCATTATAGGATTAGGATAATCATCCCCTTTATTGTTGTAATCCTTATCTCCTAAGGAATATGCTTGGAATATACTTTATTCTCTTGTATATATATGTATGGTTGTAACCACGTGATTAATAAGATATACAGAGTTACAACAACCTTCTTTATTCCACAATACGTTATCAGCACAAGCTCTACCCTAGCACAAAAATCCGTAGCTCTCTCCCTCTCTCTTGGCGGCTGCAGAAAACCCTAATCCCTGCAGCAACTTCAAAGCGACGTATCTCCCAAACCGTGTGTACCCAGACGACGAGTTACATATCAATTTGAAGCTCTTGAAGAGAGGAATCCAACCGTTCAAACGGCGCGTCAATCAGACACCAGAATCAACCGGAATCACCAAAACAAGACGGCGGCTAAATTTCTGTTTTTCCAATCCGGGAAACCCTAGAAACTTCTCTCTTACTCAAACGACTTACCCCTTATTTCTTCCTTAATTTATTAAGTTATTTTGAAGAAGAAATCCATTGCTAACTATTCTTTTGCAGGTGTAAAGTCTTACCTAAAAGATTAAAGTGATTCGATCTCTCTCTCCCCTAAGATCCAAACCGGTTTTTGCCCTAATGGAGGTCCATTCAAAAACAAGGAGATTTGAGGTATGAAACTTAAACTCTTAAACATAAGTTTCGACCCCCTTAAAACTATGATGTTTTTGGTATGTTTGAGAAATAAAATTAAAGCCCTAAAGAGCCTAACTATGTACATGGATACAAACTTGTATTCATGAACAAAAGTTAACCTAAAACCCTAATTGATGAACTCGAAATCTTTGCTTGCTTTGATCCGTTTGCTTGCTTATTTTTATCAAGTTATTTATGTTGAATGCTTAAGGAATTCACCTTGATAGATTTCGTGTTTTGAGTTCAAGTAAATTGATGTTTTAAAACTCTTGATAGCTATTGCATAAAACCGGATTGTTTTGCTTCTCTCTCTAGATCCGTTTTTGATAGATCTTGTTTGATTGATTAAAATTCGTTCTTGCTGCTATAGATCTGATAAACTCTTGTTATTACTTGATCACCATGGGACTATGTGTTTGTTTGATCAATTAAATGATTAGATCTGAGGTTTAGAAATCGTTTTGATATAAACCCTAATTGCGCATGAACCTGA